TTGAAAGCAGTTTTTAATATTACTAAAATCATATATCAAATAATGAAAAAGAAAATGAAATAAATAGAGATTTATTTGTAACAAAGGAATGGCACAATAAATGATCACTCATAGGTCATAATTGTTAGCGCGGCATATTTCTCTTTGGCTTTCATTTTCTTGAGCTCATCAATCGATTTCCTAAATTCGTAGACATTCCCTTGCCTCTTCAAAAAAATCGCATCTTTATATTTACTTCCTTTGAAAGTAATTTCACAAAAGAATTGTCTTTCTTTAGGCCCACAAAAAGTAGCTCTCCAAATTATACAATTATTATCCGTTTCCGACTGACAATAGAAAATTCCAATCGATTTATTCAGTAGAAACATGTTTGTATTTTTGGGAAAATTGCATCTTGTCGATTCCACAACTTTAATACTGCTATGAACGACTTTCAAATGGTTGTGAAAATGATCGAATCGTCCCATATAGGGACAAATAAAACATTTATATTTGCAAAATTTGCATTTGAATTCGTGTCCTCGAACTTCATTGTAGAGTAATCTTTCGCTGCAACCGTCGGAAAAATACCGACATTGATGTAAATGTGTCCGACTGATATTTTCCAAATCGATGTTTCGTTCAATTGTGACGACTTCAGAGCAGATTTTACACGGACTACTTTTGCAAAAACTGCACACATTATGGCCGTTTATACACAAATAAATCGGTGGTAACATATCAAGTGAGCACGAAGAACAAGCCAAGTTTATTTCTTCAGGAATGTTGGGTAACAACTCCGAATAATCACTCTTCAAATCTTCAGTTTCTTTGAACGGTTCTTCCAAAATAGAAAAATTCAATTGACTGATTTTGTCCATGAAATCGTCACTGGACCGATTCGACCTCAAAATGCTGATTTTATTGTCAATGCGACTGATGGCTTCGAGAAGATTTGCTTCAGTTTCATCAACTGCATTCTTCTCGATGAATTTATTGTTGATTTTCAAGGAAACGTCCGAGAATTTTCTCTCGATGGGCTTGTTGTTGTTGTTTTCTTCAATTTCCACACAACATTTGATTGGGTTTAACTCTTGATGGAATGTTTCGAGACTTTGCAGGTTTATTTCCCACCCATCTGGTCCAGGAGTGATGCAGGAAAAATATCGCGATGGGTCGTATTTGTATAAAATTTGATTAACAGTGATTGTGATGTTAAAGTGTAGTTTTGAAGCCACCTCATTTGAGCCGAGATATCGCAACCTTATTACAAGTCGTCTCTTATCGTTTATACTATTTTGCATCAAGTATATTTCACCATCGAGAAAGAGCAACTTATTCTCTGGCAGTAGTGCAAGATCAATATCGACAAAGTTGGTATAAGATAAGAGATTGCTATGTTCCTTTTCAAAATGGTGTTTTATATCGCTTGCATAACCCTCCCATGAGCATAATAACTGTTTATGAGCGGGACACAAATAAATCACAGCCATGGAAAAACTACAAATTGAGGTTTTTTAAATAGCTAAAAACTTGAATTACTTACAGAGAAAGCGAGTGATTGCACAAAAGTTGCTATGGTTCTTATCACAGGTATAAATTTTGAGATAAAATTTATCAGGAGATAAATAAATTTCCACGTTTTGGAAAAATACTAAATCTAGATTTGCAAATTTCATATTTAATACAACGAAAATCTTTAGTCCAAAATTTCTTACATAACATTTCTCTTATCAACCAACAAATATTTATTATTTTGATGATAGACAACACATTAAACATATTTTCCCAGCTATGTAGTTAATTTAGTTCTTTACATCTGTTAATTACTTGTAGCATTGCAACTGTACAAGATAACAGTAACGCATCACTCTCGACAGTGCTATTGTCTAGCCTTTGATTAATTATTATTGTGTACAGTAATTAAAACACCACACATGTGGCACAGCTGAAGTAATATCCGTTTTAGAGAAAATAACAAATAAATTATTTGCATTGCTTTAAAATTTGTAAAATTTCTTTAAGGTAAATTGACTATTTTGACGATTTTACTAGCGCTCACCTTCAAAAGCACAAAAATTTGTGATTTTTTAAAAACGTGACCTAGAAATGTCAAAAACGTTATATGATCAATTTTAAAATTGATTCTATAATTTGGAGAGTTACTTTTTAAGGACCCAAAGAAAGACAATTCTTTTGTGAAATTACTTTCAAAGGAAGTAAATATAAAGATGCGATTTTTTTTAAAAGGCAAGGGAATGTCTACGAATTTAGGAAATCGATTGATGAGCTCAAGAAAATGAAAGCCAAAGAGAAATATGCCGCGCTAACAATTATGACCTATGAGTGATCATTTATTGTGCCATTCCTTTGTTACAAATAAATCTCTATTTATTTCATYTTCTTTTTCATTATTTGATATATGATTTTAGTAATATTAAAAACTGCTTTCAAGGTTTTATTTTGTTTAAGACAAAATATAAAATAAAATAAAAATTATGAACTTTTATTAGTATTTAAAAGACAGTTCGTTACGTTAAAAATCAACCTATTAAACCTCATTTAATTAAAAATGTATCAATTATGTCCTTTCACTTTTCCATTAATAACGAATTAAAATCGATAATAATTTGAAACTCTCCCAAAGGTAGAACAAAAAATTCAAATGAAAAGTTTGTTTGAGCTGTTTT